GACTGTTCTATAGTCTTGACTATAGACTGTTCTATAGTCTTGACTATAGACTAGTCTTGACTATAGACTGTTCTATAGTCTTGACTATAGACTGTTCTATAGTCTTGACTATAGACTGTTCTATAGTCTTGACTATAGACTGTTCTATAGTCTTGACTATAGACTGTTCTATAGCTTGACTATAGACTGTTCTATAGTCTTGACTATAGACTAGTCTTGACTATAGACTGTTCTATAGTCTTGACTATAGACTGTTCTATAGTCTTGACTATAGACTGTTCTATAGTCTTGACTATAGACTGTTCTATAGCTTGACTATAGACTGTTCTATAGTCTTGACTATAGACTGTTCTATAGTCTGACTATAGACTGTTCTAAAATATCGGCTATACTGTTCTATAGTCTTGACTATAGACTGTTCTATACCTTGACTATAGACTGTTGTATAGTCTCGGCTATATACTGTTCTATAGTCTTGACTATATACTATTCTATAGTCTTGACTATAGACTGTTTTATGTCTTGGCTATATATATATCACTAAAGACTATTCTATAGTCTGGACTATAGATAGTTTTATAGTCTTGACTATAGACTGTTCTATAGTCTTCAATATATACTGTTCTATAGCCTTGATTATAGACTATTCTATAGCCTTGACTACAGACTATTCTATAGTCTTACTATACACTATTCTATAGCCTATAAACTATTCTATAGTCTGGACTATAGACCGTTTTATAGTCTTGACTATAGACCGTTTTATAGTCTTGACTATAGACCGTTTTATAGTCTTGACTATAGACCGTTTTATTAGTCTTGACCATAGACTGTTCTATAGTCTTGACTATAGACTGTTCTATAGTCTTGACTATAGACTGTTTTATAGTCTTGACCATAGACTGTTCTATAGTCTTGACTATAGACTGTTCTATAGTCTTGACTATAGACTGTTCTATAGTCTTGGCTATAGACTGTTCTATAGTCTCGACTATAGACTATTCTATAGTCTTGACTATAGACTATTCTATAGTCTTGACTATAGACTATTCTATAGTCTTGACTATAGACTATTCCATAGTCTTGACTATAGACTATTCTATAGTGTTTACTATAGACTATTCTATAGTGTTTACTATAGAGTATTCTATAGTCTTGACTATAGACTATTTTATAGTCTTGACTATAGACTATTCTATAGTCTTGACTATAGACTATTCTATAGTCTTGACTTTATACTATTCTATAGTCTGGACTATAGACTATTCTATAGTCTGTACTATACACCGTTTTATAGTCTTGGCTATAGACTGTTCTATAGTCTGGGACTATAGACTATTCTATAGTCTATAGTCTTGACTATAGACCGTTTTATAGTCTTGACTATAGACTATTTTATAGTCTTGACTATAGACTATTCTATAGTCTTGACTATAGACTATTCTATAGTCTTGACTATATACTATTCTATAGTCTGGACTATAGACTATTATATAGTCTTGACTATAGTCTTTACTATAGACTTTTCTGTAGTCATGACTATAGACTATTCTATAGTATTGACTATAGATTGTGCTGTAGTCTTAACTAAACACAGTTTTAAGGGTTAAAATTATGTAAATCTTTATGCAAATCATCAGTTTTTATTTTGATTCTTCGAAACATATGGAAGAAATAGAAAGAACCGGTAAATAAAAACAAAATTTCTGAAAACAAAGACAATGAATAGGGAGGGAAACCATAACAATAACACTGATAACATATGGTCTTCGCTGAGAAAAGAAAACAAAATCTGTATAATAAAATTAATTAATTTTATAAATATTCTTAAAACCATCACAATATTAAGGTAAAAGTATTATTCTTTAATCTGTTTGTAGACGCAACAAACTCTCAGTCTCCCGCGTACTCGCTAACAAAATTATAATTTTTTTTATTAGTGTCTAAATTTATTTAGTCTAAAATTTAGACTAATGAAACAAAGTTCTACATTTAAGATATTTAAAATTTTTTCTAATTTATTTATTTTTGTACTCAAAGATACAAAAATATATTTTTAACTCAGAATCTGGATAAAAACTATTTGTTTAACTCAATATTGAGAAAATAGAAGAAAAGAGTAATGGGAGGGAGAAACATTTGTATGTTTAAAATGGCAAATCACTGTTGGTATAAATTTAGTTTATTTTCGGTAGTTCTCTGTTTAATATTGTTTGTACAATGTCGGAATCAAAAGCAGTTAGTAGTTCCAGTACTCTGAGTAGCAAAGAGGAAACTTTTAAGGATCGATCACGTTACGATAATTATCGTATTTATAATGTAGAACTGGCTACAGAACAACATGTGGATCTATTTCAAAAACTCGAAGAACAAAGTGATAGCATGATATTTATAGGTCATGCTCGTGAAGTCGGTCAAAAAATTGTCGATTTTAGTTGCTGCCCATAAAATTGCCGATTTGGCAGATTTACTTGAGTATTATCAGGTTAAACATCGTATACTGGTGAGTTAAGGTTTATGGACAATGAAAAATTATGAAGAAACTTTATATTTGTTTAAACTTCTCCTTTCAGACCAATAATTTCCAAGAGAAAATCGATAAAAACTATGCTTCAGTTTTACCCATTGGTACAGATCTCTCGAAATTTGATTGGCATCATTATTATCATCTAGAAACTATTTACGAATGGTTGCAATCGTTAGTGGAGAAATATCCTGCAGTAGTTTCTCTACTCGATATGGGCAATAGTACACAAGGTTTTCCCATTAAAGGTGTAAAAATCTCACATAATCCTAACAATAAAGCCATATTTATAGAATCGGGTATACATGCTCGTGAATGGATAGCTCCTGCAACGGCTACGTTCTTAATTAACTCACTACTAACATCCACTGATGAGGATGTTCAAAATTTAGCCAAAAACTACAATTGGATTATTTTTCCTAGTGTGAATCCGGATGGTTATAAATTCACTTTTGAACACGATCGTATGTGGCGTAAGAATCGACAAATATTTGGTATAAATCGTGGTGTTGATTTAAATCGTAATTATCCAGATCATTGGAATTCCACCGGCAGCAGTAGTGATCCTAGTCGTTATGATTTCTCGGGACCCACCGCTGGTTCAGAGTTGGAAACCCAGCGTTTAATCAAATTTATAGAGGATAATGTGGCAAAAGAGCAAATTAAAACATATTTATCTCTACATTCCTATTCGCAAATGATTATGTTCCCCTATGGTTATACCAAAGAACATGCTTATAATTATGAGGATTTAAAAGAATTGGGTCAATCGGCAGCAAATGCCATAAAGGCCCTAACCGGAGTACATTACACTAGTGGTAGTAAAATTGAAACAATTTATCCCTCTAGTGGCAGTAGTATTGATTGGGTTTATGCTGTTCATAAGATACCCATTGCTTATACTTTTGAATTGCGTGGTCCACCCGATAGTCAAGATATGTTTATTTTACCCGCCGAACAAATTTTGCCTACTGCCCAGGAAGCTTTTGCTGCTATAAAGGCTATTGTTGAGGGAGCAGCTGCTAAAGGTTATTATAAATAATTGTTGAAAACAAAAACAGCTTTTAACTTTAGTTATATATGGCATTTTTCATAAATATTCAAATATTTTCTTACTTCATGATTTTGTATGCTTAATCTCAATATTTTTATATTGTTATTTCAAGAGATAAATGAAATGTTTGTTTACATTATTTTAATAAATAAGATAAAATATATTTTATATGAGTTCCTCAATATTTTAATAGAAGACATAAATATTTAATATGAAGACATAAATAACTTTGGAAGATGTTAAGGAATTTAAATATCTTCCTTAATAACAAATTTTTATAAAAGACATTATGGACTATAGACAAGATTTTTTATTCTTCAGTTCTAGTTTAGTTTTAGTTCTAGTACAGTTCTAGTTCAGTTCTAACCTAACTTAGTTCAGTTCTAGTCCAGTCTAGTTCAGTTCTAGTTCAGTTCTAGTTCAGTTCTAGTTCAGTTCTAGTTCAGTTCTAGTTCAGTTCTAGTTCAGTTCTAGTTCAGTTCTAGTTCAGTTCTAGTTCAGTTCTAGTTCAGTTCTAGTTCAGTTCTAGTTCAGTTCTAGTTCAGTTCTAGTTCAGTTCTAGTTCAGTTCTAGTTCAGTTCTAGTTCAGTTCTAGTTCAGTTCTAGTTCAGTTCTAGTTCAGTTCTAGTTCAGTTCTAGTTCAGTTCTAGTTCAGTTCTAGTTCAGTTCTAGTTCAGTTCTAGTTCAGTTCTAGTTCAGTTCTAGTTCAGTTCTAGTTCAGTTCTAGTTCAGTTCTAGTTCAGTTCTAGTTCAGTTCTAGTTCAGTTCTAGTTCAGTTCTAGTTCAGTTCTAGTTCAGTTCTAGTTCAGTTCTAGTTCAGTTCTAGTTCAGTTCTAGTTCAGTTCTAGTTCAGTTCTAGTTCAGTTCTAGTTCAGTTCTAGTTCAGTTCTAGTTCAGTTCTAGTTCAGTTCTAGTTCAGTTCTAGTTCAGTTCTAGTTCAGTTCTAGTTCAGTTCTAGTTCAGTTCTAGTTCAGTTCTAGTTCAGTTCTAGTTCAGTTCTAGTTCAGTTCTAGTTCAGTTCTAGTTCAGTTCTAGTTCAGTTCTAGTTCAGTTCTAGTTCAGTTCTAGTTCAGTTCTAGTTCAGTTCTAGTTCAGTTCTAGTTCAGTTCTAGTTCAGTTCTAGTTCAGTTCTAGTTCAGTTCTAGTTCAGTTCTAGTTCAGTTCTTGTTCAGTTCTAGTTCATTTCTAGTTTAGTTCTAGTTTAGTTCTAGTTTAGTTCTAGTTCAGTTCTAGTTCAGTTCTAGTTCAGTACTAGTTCAGTTCTAGTTCAGTTCTAGTTCTGTGCCACTAAAGTTCAAGAACTGTTTTATTAATTTGTTGTTCAGTAATCAGGTCTATAAGACGACCTATAGTCTGGTCTATAATTTGGAATATAGACAATCTTGGAATATAGACGTACAAAGTACAAAAACAGACTTTAAGAACTTTATAAAATTGCACTTTTATTGTCAGAATTTTGGTAAATAAATAAAACATTTTACAAATCAAAGCAAATTTCCTACTTCAATATAAAACTGAGTAACATTTTCAATATCAACAACAATTAGCAATAATTGTGTCAGTACATCTTCACAGCTGTTGTAATATGATTCCTAGGTGAAAGGCGAGGATCAAATATGGGATTTATTTGAACAATACAATCTGTAGAAAAATAAACAAAATATTAAATTTAAAGCAATAAAACTATTGCACCGAAATGTAATAAATACAAACCATTTTCCAATAAATACAGTAAACGATCGTACAGCAAAACACTTTCAATTAAGGGAGCAAAAAATAAACGTAATGTATAAAAAATAACAATATTTTTCCAATTTAAAAGATCCCTCTGCGTCACAGGTGTTTGTAGATCATGTTCATTAAGATTTTCAACAGCTAAACCTTTAACAGCTCTATAAAAGTAACTAGAAAACAATAAAAGCACAAAAGCTAGAAATTTTTTCGAAAATAAAACATTAAACCATATACTTACTCTTCAAATTTCATATCTGGCGTATGTTTAACACTTTTCAAGCCCGAATGTTTTAAACAAGGATAATGTTTAACAATTATTCTTTCTGCTGCCGCTCTAAACGAATGTACTTTTAAATAGTCATAATCCTTTAGCGATAAACGTTCATTATATAGTTCCATGGCATGACAGGAAATCTCTCTGGCCTCATAACTTAAACGTACATCATTTGTACTAGCTTTTAAATATTCACTTAAAGGATAACCATAAAACTGTTGAGGTGGCTTTTGTTTCATACCAGCACGTCCCTCAATTGTTGTTAGTTTTTGATAGCAACAACCAACAAAATTTAAAAACTTTGCTTGTTTACATTGCAAAAACATACGCATAAGTATGGCGCCCAAATCACCACAGGGATGTAGACCTATAATACCAAATGTATAATCTGTATTTGTAAGACCTATTGCCTTTTCTATTATAGACAAAAATTCGTCTTTTGTCATTTGGGCCGTTAAGCAAAGATCTACATGTGTGGGACTTTGATATTGCAAATTTTCCGTTGCTGGTAAATATTTCTCTATAAGTTTTTCCATATTTCTATCCATAACATAGGCATTTTGATTAAGTTCTGTTTGCATTTCTAAACCACAGACCTTAATATTATAAGCATAACCTAAAACTCTGGCCAAGTGACCTAGACCAGCACCAAAGTCTATAACAAAATCGACAGGATTTTCTGTGCAAATCTGTTTACACAGGGCAGCCATATATTCTAATTCATGCCTCTTTTTGGGTTTTACACCTTTAATAAATATATGCTTTAGGTTAGGATGATCGAGAAGTATGGCACGAGGTAGAATTAAGCCTGAAATTAAGATTTACATACATACTTTGTGTGTTCTATTGATTCAGATATGTATAAGAGAACATTGATTGTTGTGGGAATGGTGCATGCATTATGATCTTGAAGTGATATACATATACATATGTATAACTGAACTGAGCTGAACTAGAACGGAACTAAAAGCAAACTAGAAATAAACTAGAACTAAACTGGAACTAAATTACACTAAACTGAAACTAAACTTGAACTAAAGTAGAACTAAACTACAATTGAACTAGAACTGACCTAGAACTGAACTAGAACTGAACTAGAACTGAACTAGAACTGAACTAGAAACTGAACTAGAATCTGAACTAGAACTGAACTAGAACTGAACTAGAACTAAACTAGAATGACTAGAATACTAGAACTGAACTAGAACCTGAACTAGAACGAACTAGAACTGAACTACGGAACTAGAACGAACTAGAACCTGAACTAGAACTGAACTAGAAACCTGAACTAGAACTGAACTAGAACTGAACTAGAACTGAACTAGAACTGAACTAGAACTGAACTAGAACTGAACTAGAACTGAACTAGAACTGAACTAGAACTGAACTAGAACTGAACTAGAACTGAACTAGAACTGAACTAGAACTGAACTAGAACTGAACTAGAACTGAACTAGAACTGAACTAGAACTGAACTAGAACTGAACTAGAACTGAACTAGAACTGAACTAGAACTGAACTAGAACTGAACTAGAACTGAACTGAAAAAACTAGAACTGAACTAGAACTGAACTAGAACTGAACTAGAACTGAACTAGAACTGAACTAGAACTGAACTAGAACTGAACTAGAACTGAACTAGAACTGAACTAGAACTGAACTAGAACTGAACTAGAACTGAACTAGAACTGAACTAGAACTGAACTAGAACTGAACTAGAACTGAACTAGAACTGAACTAGAACTGAACTAGAACTGAACTAGAACTGAACTAGAACTGAACTAGAACTGAACTAGAACTGAACTAGAACTGAACTAGAACTGAACTAGAACTGAACAAGAACTGAACTAGAACTGAACTAGAACTGAACTAGAACTGAACTAGAACTGAACTAGAACTGAACTAGAACTGAACTAGAACTGAACTAGAACTGAACTAGAACTGAACAAGAACTGAACTAGAACTGAACTAGAACTGAACTAGAACTGAACTAGAACTGAACTAGAACTGAACTAGAACTGAACTAGAACTGAACTAGAACTGAACTAGAACTGAACTAGAACTGAACTAGAACTGAACTAGAACTGAACTAGAACTGAACTAGAACTGAACTAGAACTGAACTAGAACTGAACTAGAACTGAACTAGAACTGAACTAGAACTGAACTAGAACTGAACTAGAACTGAACTAGAACTGAACTAGAACTGAACTAGAACTGAACTAGAACTGAACTAGAACTGAACTAGAACTGAACTAGAACTGAACTAGAACTGAACTAGAACTGAACTAGAACTGAACTAGAACTGAACAAGAACTGAACTAGAACTGAACTAGAACTGAACTAGAACTGAACTAGAACTGAACTAGAACTGAACTAGAACTGAACTAGAACTGAACTAGAACTGAACTAGAACTGAACAAGAACTGAACTAGAACTGAACTAGAACTGAACTAGAACTGAACTAGAACTGAACTAGAACTGAACTAGAACTGAACTAGAACTGAACTAGAACTGAACTAGAACTGAACTAGAACTGAACTAGAACTGAACTGAACTGACTAGAACTGAACTAGAACTGAACTAGAACTGAACTAGAACTGAACTAGAACTGAACTAGAACTGAACTAGAACTGAACTAGAACTGAACTAGAACTGAACTAGAACTGAACTAGAACTGAACTAGAACTGAACTAGAACTGAACTAGAACTGAACTAGAACTGAACTAGAACTGAACTAGAACTGAACTAGAACTGAACTAGAACTGAACTAGAACTGAACTAGAACTGAACTAGAACTGAACTAGAACTGAACTAGAACTGAACTAGAACTGAACTAGAACTGAACTAGAACTGAACTAGAACTGAACTAGAACTGAACTAGAACTGAACTAGAACTGAACTAGAACTGAACTAGAACTGAAGAACTAGAACTGAACTAGAACTGAACTAGAACTGAACTAGAACTGAACTAGAACTGAACTAGAACTGAACTAGAACTGAACTAGAACTGAACTAGAACTGAACTAGAACTGAACTAGAACTGAACTAGAACTGAACTAGAACTGAACTAGAACTGAACTAGAACTGAACTAGAACTGAACTAGAACTGAACTAGAACTGAACTAGAACTGAACTAGAACTGAACTAGAACTGAACTAGAACTGAACTAGAACTGAACTAGAACTGAATTGGAACTGAACTAGAGCTGAACTGGAACTGAACTAGAGCTGAACTAAAACTGAACTAGAACTGAACTAGAACTGAACTAGAACTGAATTTTTATACAGGACTTTGCATGTATCTTGTTATGAACCATAGTCTAGCCAATAACCAGATCGATACGAATATTATTTACATATTCTTATTAATATTGAAATGATTTGTTAAAATAAATATGTGAATGTGTAAAAACACGGACGTTTTCCACCTTAGAAACTTACCCGCCAATTTTGTTGTCGTTTTACACACAATTCTTTAAAGCCTGTTTTAAAGCCAATAAACTTAAGGGCCATAATCTATTAACATTCTTTCCTTCGTAATTGTTACTTTCTAATAAAAAACATAAATGTTCCGGAGGTAGATGTTGGAAACAATCACGCCATGACGTTGGTAATTTAGACCAATGATCATCCACATAGAAGTCCTATAAAATGTATAAAATATACTTTATTATTAGACAAAATCTTTATAAAATAAACTTACTAAAACGTAGGAATTTATTAGCCAATCATATTTACGTATAATGTTTAAAGAATCGTTAATTTTGCCTTTTAAATTAGAGGATGAAAGAAACTGATATTCCATGTTTATTCTATCGTTTATTATTGTTTACAACAGTGGTGGGTAATACTTTCTGTTAGATGTTTACTTTTTACAGATATTAGTACTTAAATGTGGGTAGGATGGGACATTTTTTAAAAATTTAAAAACTTCTTGTCAGTATGCACTAAGCACTTATTACATCATGATTCTTGTTTTTTTTTTATTATAGCAAATATACTATTAAAGGAGAATGTATAGAATTTTAATATTAAAATTGTATTGAAAAAGTACATTTTGTGTAAGTTTATCATCTCTGTTGTGATTGTTAGCAATCAACCGCTGTATTGCTATTATCATGTATATTAGCAGAGCTGCCACACCAATTCATTTTAAAACAGCTGTTTTTGTTTTTTATATTTTCTTTTCACCCTTATTCGTCTTTGTTTATACAAATAATATTTTTACAACTTCTTCCAGTAGTATTTGTTGTGTATTATAAAATAAAAGCTTAGTAAAGAACCCAACGGATAGTAGTACATATTATTGAATTAATAAAACAAGTTTTTTTTTATGTAATAACTTCATTTTTTACATTAAATATAAAATGCGCCTTTAATTATCGTATTGTTTTTAAAATATTCACTAAAATACAAATGTGTTCTTTAATGTATTCTTAACGTAAATTACTGATAAGAATTTTTGTATTTTATTCATAAAATATATTGATAAGACCTATTTTTTAATCAATAATAAGAAAAGTGCTCTAATTTTTTCATTTAACAAAAGAAAAGCAATAATAAAACAACGTTTTGGAGAGCCGTAATCAAAGGTCTTTGCAATAAAAAATAAAAAAAAATAATTGTTATAATAATTGCCTTAGCTAGTCAGTTCAGTTTGTTTTTAGCCAAACAACAAGTTACTTGCAATAACTTGTTTTATTTTATTATTTGTTTTGAACGTTTATTAAACATCTTTTTGTGTTTAGTCAGTGTACAGCAGCGTAATTGCTAACAATCATTAGACACTACTAGCAAGTGGTGATTGGCATCTGTGTTTAATTCTAAAAAAAGTAAATAAAAGTGTTCGAAAAAAGTGAAATAGCATTAAAAAAAATAATAAAATGACTACAAAAGTTAATCCCGACTTACAAAAAGAGCGCAATAGTGCCACCTTCAATACAGAGGAGTTTACATTATGGTGGTGTGGTGGACGCAAAAAATATGAGGAGCGTAAAGCTTTGGGTAAGTTTTGAGTTAACTATAGTTAAGTGCATATTTCTATGCAGTTAAACAAACTGCAGCTACCATTTGTATGATTTTTTTTGTTTCTAATACATACATATTGTGAAAGAGTTATATTTTTATTTTTTATATTATATTTTATACAATAGACACTCTTGACCCTATTTTTATATAATAATATTTTTATTTTATAAAATATTAAAAATATTATGGCTGTTAAAAGCTTAGACGCAATTACTAACATTATAAACATATTTAACTTTACAACTTTTATAATAGTTATTGTTATTTTTTATTTAGTGGACACTAACAGCTTGGTTTTAAAAATACAATTTAAATTATAAGTATACATTACACATTATAGTATAACTCTTATGATTTGTCCAAATGTTTGTAACAAACAAAATTGTTGATTTGATATCAAACTTTGAATTGAACTGGAACTGAACTTGAAGTAGAATTGAACTAGAACTGAACTAGAACTGAACTAGAACTGAACTAGAACTGAACTAGAACTGAACTAGAACTGAACTAGAACTGAACTAGAACTGAACTAGAACTGAACTAGAACTGAACTAGAACTGAACTAGAACTGAACTAGAACTGAACTAGAACTGAACTAGAACTGAACTAGAACTGAACTAGAACTGAACTAGAACTGAACTAGAACTGAACTAGAACTGAACTAGAACTGAACTAGAACTGAACTAGAACTGAACTAGAACTGAACTAGAACCGAACTAGAACTGAACTAGAACTGAACTAAACTGAACTAGAACTGAACTAGAACTGAACTAGAACTGAACTAGAACTGAACTAGAACTGAACTAGAACTGAACTAGAACTGAACTAGAACTGAACTAGAACTGAACTAGAACTGAACTAGAACTGAACTAGAACTGAACTAGAACTGAACTAGAACTGAACTAGAACTGAACTAGAACTAAATAGAACTGAACTAGAACTGAACTAGAACTGAACTAGAACTGAACTAGAACTGAACTAGAACTGAACTAGAACTGAACTAGAACTGAACTAGAACTGAACTAGAACTGAACTAGAACTGAACTAGAACTGAACTAGAACTGAACTAGAACTGAACTAGAACTGAACTAGAACTGAACTAGAACTGAACTAGAACTGAACTAGAACTGAAATAGAACTGAACTAGAACTGAACTAGAACTGAACTAGAACTGAACTAGAACTGAACTGGAACTGAACTAGAACTGAACTAGAACTGAACTAGAACTAGAACTAGAACTGAACTAGAACTGAACTAGAACTGAACTAGAACTAGAACTGAACTAGAACTGAACTAGAACTGAACTAGAACTAGAACTGAACTAGAACTGAACTAGAACTGAACTAGAACTGAACTAGAACTGAACTAGAACTGAACTAGAACTGAACTAGAACTGAACTAGAACTGAACTAGAACTGAACTAGAACTGAACTAGAACTGAACTAGAACTGAACTAGAACTGAACTAGAACTGAACTAGAACTGAACTAGAACTGAACTAGAACTGAACTAGAACTGAACTAGAACTGAACTAGAACTGAACTAGAACTGAACTAGAACTGAACTAGAACTAGAACTGAACTGAACTGAACTAGAACTGAACTACGAACTAACTGAACTAGAACTGAACTAGAACTGAACTAGAACTGAACTAGAACTGAACTAGAACTGAACTAGAACTGAACTAGAACTGAACTAGAACTGAACTAGAACTGAACTAGAACTGAACTAGAACTGAACTAGAACTGAACTAGAACTGAACTAGAACTGAACTAGAACTGAACTAGAACTGAACTAGAACTGAACTAGAACTGAACTAGAACTGAACTAGAACTGAACTAGAACTGAACTAAAACTGAACTAGAACTGAACTAGAACTGAACTAGAACTGAACTAGAACTGAACTAGAACTGAACTAGAACTGAACTAGAACTGAACTAGAACTGAACTAGAACTGAACTAGAACTGAACTAGAACTGAACTAGAACTGAACTAGAACTGAACTAGACCTGAACTGGAACTGAACTAGAACTGAACTAGACCTGAACTAGAACTGAACTAGAACTGAACTAGAACTGAACTAGAACTGAACTAGAACTGAACTAGAACTGAACTAGAACTGATCTAGAACTGAACTAGAACTGAACTAGAACTAGAACTAGAACTGAACTCGAACTTAACTAGAACTGAATTGGAACTGTACTAGAAATGAACAAGAACTGAACTAGAGCTAAACTAGAACTTTAGTTTACAATATTGTCTATAGTGAAGAACATAATCTTTTGTAGTTTAGTATATAATCTGTTCTACCTGGATATTTTCTTGTTCTTTACGGTTAATATTTGGCACAAATATTGAGAATAATGGCAATAGTTCCAGACTTTCAAAACGAGATTTACTAGAGTATTTTATAGTCGAGTTTGATCGATAATACTTTCTTTTCTGGCTTTAAATGTTTGACATATAAATTGCTATTAGAAAAACATAAGTGCAGGAAATTAAAATGTATTTTAGAAAACGAAAGAATTTTTGGCATCAGCAACCGGTAATTTAAATTGTTATCTAACAAACAAAATGTTTGACAAATTATTTCTCTTCTAACTTAACAATACCACTTCGATATTGGTTTACTGATTTTTATTTCAACGATTAACCATTAGTAAACATTTTTAACATAATTTAACAAATAACAGTGTTATATTCGACCATGCCGTATCTTATATACCTTCGCATTAATATATTTTAATAAAAATATTAATTTATTTAAATATTATGAAGATTGTAGAGGTCAGTGCATTTGAAATAAAAACATTCCAGAATTTTTAATTTTGTAAATATGAAATTTTTTCCTAAATATAAGATCATTTGTAAAAGTATAAAACATTTTAAATAACAAAAATTATTTAGGTAAGGCCTTGTTATGAACAATTCTTAATATTAAGAGAATATTGATTTTGTCTATTATAGAGTATCATACATTTGATCGCCCCATCACCTTTATTAAGAAGTATTTGTATGTATAAGTTTGTTGTTGTTGTAACAGCTAAAACTATACAATAATCTAGTTGGGGGGTTCTACATCCCTAACAGTCGGTTCTACGTACCGGAATGGCCCGAATTAATTGGGCAAGGGCTGTCAACCCCAGTAATAACAATAACAATAAAAGTTTGTCATTCTGTTCGGTGTTTCTACAATTTTGCGTTTTTTTTGCAGAGTTTTGGAATGGTACGTTAGTTAGTTAGTTAGTTAGTTAGTTAGTTAGTTAGTTAGTTAGTTAGTTAGTTAGTTTGTTGTTAGTTAGTTTTTTAGTTAGTTAGTTAGTTAGTTAGTTAGTTAGTTAGTTATTAGTTAGTTAGTTAGTTAATTAGTTAGTTAGTTAGTAAGTTAGTTAGTTAGTTAGTTAGTTAGTTAGTTAGTTAGTTAGTTAGTTAGTTAGTTAGTTAGGTAGTTAGTTAGTTAGTTAGTTAGTTAGTTAGTTTGTTTGTTTGTTTGTTAGTTAGTTAGTTAGTTAGTTAGTTAGTTAGTTAGTTAGTTAGTTAGTTAGTAGTTAGTTAGTTAGTTAGTTAGTTAGTTAGTTAGTTAGTTAGTTAGTTAGTTAGTTAGTTAGTTAGTTAGTTAGTTAGTTAGTTAGTTAGTTAGTTAGTTAGTTAGTTAGTTAGTTAGTTAGTTAGTTAGTTAGTAGTTAGTTAGTTAGTTAGTTAGTTAGTTAGTTAGTTAGTTAGTTAGTAGTTAGTTAGTTAGTTAGTTAGTTAGTTAGTTAGTAGTTAGTTAGTTAGTTAGTTAGTTAGTTAGTTAGTTAGTTAGTTAGTTAGTTAGTTAGTTAGTTAGTTAGTTAGTTAGTTAGTTAGTTAGTTAGTTAGTTAGTTAGTTAGTTAGTTAGTTAGTTAGTAGTTAGTTAGTTAGTAGTTAGTTAGTTAGTTAGTTAGTTAGTTAGTTAGTTAGTTAGTTAGTTAGTTAGTTAGTTAGTTAGTTAGTTAGTTAGTTAGTTAGTTAGTTAGTTAGTTAGTTAGTTAGTTAGTTAGTTAGTTTGTTAATTAGTTAGTTAGTTAGTTAGTTTGTTAGTTAGTTAGTTAGTTAGTTAGTTAGTTAGTTAGTTAGTTAGTTAGTTAGTTAGTTAGTTAGTTAGTTAGTTAGTTAGTTAGTTAGTTAGTTAGTTAGTTAGTTAGTTAGTTAGTTAGTTAGTTAGTTAGTTAGTTAGTTAGTTAGTTAGTTAGTTAGTTAGTTAGTTAGTTAGTTAGTTAGTTAGTTAGTTAGTTAGTTAGTTAGTTAGTTAGTTAGTTAGTTAGTTAGTTAGTTAGTTAGTTAGTTAGTTAGTTAGTTAGTTAGTTAGTTAGTTAGTTAGTTAGTTAGTTAGTTAGTTAGTTAGTTAGTTAGTTAGTTAGTTAGTTAGTTAGTAGTTAGTTAGTTAGTTAGTTAGTTAGTTAGTTAGTAGTTAGTTAGTTAGTTAGTTAGTTAGTTAGTTAGTTAGTTAGTTAGTTAGTTAGTTAGTTAGTTAGTAGTTAGTTAGTTAGTTAGTTAGTTAGTTAGTTAGTTAGTTAGTTAGTTAGTTAGTTAGTTAGTTAGTTAGTTAGTTAGTTAGTTAGTTAGTTAGTTAGTTAGTTAGTTAGTTAGTTAGTTAGTTAGTTAGTTAGTTAGTTAGTTAGTTAGTTAGTTAGTAGTAGTTAGTTAGTTAGTTAGTTAGTTAGTTAGTTAGTTAGTTAGTTAGTTAGTTAGTTAGTTAGTTAGTTAGTTAGTTAGTTAGTTAGTTAGTTAGTTAGTTAGTTAGTTAGTAGTTAGTTAGTTAGTTAGTTAGTTAGTTAGTTAGTTAGTTAGTTAGTTAGTTAGTTAGTTAGTTAGTTAGTTAGTTAGTTAGTTAGTTAGTTAGTTAGTTAGTTAGTTAGTTAGTTAGTTAGTTAGTTAGTTAGTTAGTTAGTTAGTTAGTTAGTTAGTAGTTAGTTAGTTAGTAGTTAGTTAGTAGTTAGTTAGTTAGTTAGTTAGTTAGTTAGTTAGTTAGTTAGTTAGTTAGTTAGTTAGTTAGTTAGTTAGTTAGTTAGTTAGTTAGTTAGTTAGTAGTTAGTTAGTTAGTTAGTTAGTTAGTTAGTTAGTTAGTTAGTAAACTATGATGAAGGGTATATAAACATCGCCATAGCCAAATCGAGCATTGTCACTCGTTTTTAAGTTAATCGTTTAATTTTAATTCTAAATTTAACTGTCAAGCAAATGCGACTAACTTATTATACTATTTTACAAAGGTCAATTAAAAAACACAATTAAGTGACTGGCATTAATGAGTAGCAAACAAAAAATTAACTTTTAAATGCATTACAATTATAGAAATCTTATACATACATATAAATCAAATTAACCAAGGAAACTATTAAAAAATTTACTTTAAACAAAGTTCATTTACAGCTACTATAAACTGATGTTAATAGAGATTAAAGAAAATACAAAACAATAAAGCTAACTAAATGGCCCACTAAAACATATAAATATTGATATAACTAATCTCAAATAGATTATCAGTGCAAATAGATTATCACTACAAACCCCCCACAAATAATATTCGACTTATACTTTTTATAGGTAAATTTCCATAATGAAAACTTAAGCACTTGTAAAGTTAGCACAGAATACAGTAGCTTAAAACTAAATAGCAATTATCAAAGTTTCTTATACACACGTAAATTTAGTATAGAAATAAATATATTTATGGCAAATTATAAAAGTCTATGGTGGTATTTAAATGATAAGAAACTTAAATCATGGTCAAGATAATCATATTTAAATAATAACACTTCAACTCTGTACAAAGTTTAAACAAATAAAACATTTCAGTTAAACAATTAAAACATTTTTTTAAAACTTTTAATACACATTTTGAAATTCATTTCCCCTTTAAATAGAAAAACTATTAACGTTTGTTTTTTGAAGTGAAAATTTTTAACTTCATTTGAAATTATTAAATCAGATGAATGAATCAACAGTTTTCATTATTCCAAAGTTCACTGAACCATTATAAATGTATTTCAATGAGTTTTTTTTCAACAAGGCCATATATGAGTTAATTTATTCTATTATGTATGCAATTCTATTTGAGAAAAGCAAACAAATATTTTTATTCAAATGATGCGTACATATTGATGAATTAAATATGACAAAGATTATTGTCCATACCCTTCAAACATTTGTAAGATAAAACTTCGTAATGATAGACAGACACTTCTGGATTGTAGTCATACACACAAATAAAATTGCGAAAACACTTTCGCATAACCCATAGTGGACAGTCACGAGTAACAGTTCTTCCCAACGAAAAATAAAATAATGATATAATGGTTGAGCATACTGATCGTCTGATCGAACAAAAGATAAACATCAAGCAATTTAGAAGTCAACTACAGGTTGAGATTGAGGCGACTCATCACTCGTTTTCATAAACCAACTTTTTTATCAAATATTCCGAACCTAGCTACTCTAGACAGATAGATAGACAGATAGATAGGTAGATAGATAGATAGATAGATAGATAGATAGATAGATAGATAGATAGATAGAATAGATAGATAGATAGATAGATAGATAGATAGATAGATAGATAGATAGATAGATAGATAGATAGATAGATAGATAGATAGATAGATAGATAGATAGAAGATAGATAGATAGATAGATAGATAGATAGATAGATAGATAATAGATAGATAGATAGATAGATAGATAGATAGATAGCTAGATAG